CTGGCTGAGTCTCAGGAACGGACAGTTTTTATACACTGGTAGTGGACGACAGATGTGAGGCTCATGTCAAACAGAGTGATCAATACATGGTCAAGCAACAGCTGTAGTCGTAAAGGTGTACCGTGACAACTTAACTTTAGCAACAATAAATGGTCTATTGGGGTTCAAATAACAGACTTCTTCGACTATTCCTTACATGAAGCTTGACTGTCCTTCAACTAACATAAAAACACGCCGTAAGTCACGAAAAAGTCATGGAAAAGTTTAGAAATTTTGTCAGTGAAAAAGTGAACCCTGTCGAGTCTCCTAATTTATTCACTGTGATGAGTTTAGAGTTTGTGGCTTTTAACAACTTTCAGAGGTCAGAGTGACGTTTTGCCATCATGGTAATAACTAGCATGCTTAGAGTGCACTTTGGTATCAGTTATCAGACAATAAAACGCTTTACAATCAGTTGCAGATAATGCACAACAGACTTATTTTGACCTCAAGAATCAGGGTTGTTCCACAGTATGGCATTACATTAATATAGCATTCATTTTGTTAAAGGTTTTAGCCATGTTACAATGTTGTTACCTCCTCAAAAACAGACCTGGAGTTGTGTTTTGTTTCATTCCCACATGTTTGAGTAATTCTTTATTATTAGTCTGTTTTCATCTCCAAAGTTAAGAATGCTCTGTTCTATCTTGTGATGTCATGAAGCAATAGTTTTCATGATAACAGCTGCTTTTACCTGTTGTTCAGTAGAGATCGACAATACTTTGGATACTAGCAAAGGTGCATTAAACTTAGACAAATTTTATTGATCCAAAGGGGAAATTATTTGGACACAGTCTCTCACACATCAAAATATAATATAAAAACAAAGAGTAAAAAATATAAATGGTAATAATAAATTCTAAATAAGTAAAAATAAAATAAAAATAAAATAAAAAAATAAGTAAAAAATACAAAGTATGGAGGTATAGAGGAGAACTCAGTCTAAATATGCAGGTTTGTGTGTTAAAGAATAGATCAGAAAATGGCTTATGGGCCCTTTAAGCAATAAAACACAACACACAGATGCTTTACAATGCCATTCTTCAGAACATTCTAGTCAAAGCTTTAAAATCTCACACAACCCGGTGACGAATCCTGCTCCAGAAAAGTTACATCATGCATTTTTAAATTCAGACGCAGCTAAAAATCATCACCATCCTTTCTTGCTCGAAAAAGCGAAGGCGAGCTCACAACTTATTTATTTGTAGTAGAGTTTCGAGTGCACAGACTACCCACAATCCTCTCGCTCCTTCGCTGTTTGCGGCGCGTCTGCAGCGTCTAGACTCTGGGCTGTGTTGCTCACGGCTTGCAGGGCGTCTAACCGTGCGTGTGGCAGTTTGCGCGGACAAGACGGCACATTAGGCACCGGCGACGCATGTGTCTGTGTCTCTCCAGCTACTAGTGAGGAGCGATGGTTTGGAAGGAGAAATATGGCCCGTGCGGTGTGCGAATCAGGCGCGCTCCACTGCCCTGTAATCAGCCTCCTCTCCAGAGCCCCGCGACCCACAGAGAAGGGGGTGTGACAGTGTGAACAAATTACAATGTCCACGGACTGGAGTTTTGCACTGGAGGAGAGATGTATTTCTGCACACACACACACACACACACACACACACACAGGCTATTTAAGGCCACATACAGTGTAGTTATATTAAAGATTGGCATTTCCAGAGTTGAAATTATTCAGTGATTCTAGTGAAGGTGCATGGAGTTTAAAAACACAGTGGAGCATGGATTGTTTTCCGTGAGAGAGTCTGTTTCAATCAGTTTCTATATCTAATATCTGTTATTTAGAGTATTTCCCAGTTTTGGAGGATATTTTAGTTCACATTATTGTTTTTCAGTCTGATTTGCCATATTAAATATTATTGAAGGACACTTTCGATTATTGAACTAAGACTTTGTTTGCCTGTTTGCTTTGTGTTGCGTTTGAGTCCAGTTTACCTGTGTGATGGTTAATTCCTTTGTTTGAAATATTCCACAGTATGCCTCGAAACTCTAGCCTGATTCATCAGCCGATTTCACTTCGTAGAAATGCAGCGTTAGAATTCGTTCGCTCGACGGTAGGCAGGTACTTTTTTCATTTAACCAATCGCTGCTATTTGGTCGTGACGTATGTAATGCGCCACTAACGGTCTTAACTGGTATATTAAGCTTTTCCCAAATCCTGTAGGAAGAAGGACAATAACATCTTTCCCCTTAATAAAATTCACCAAACATTCTCTTTGTTCCGGCTTTAAATCCTTGATCTCGGGAATCGTTGGCAACACAGAATGTATGGCTCTTCACTGACTCACACTTCTGTTTTTTTTGCAAACCGTATAGTGTATTCTGATTCCTGACCTAGTTGCTGGAGAGAAATTAAATTGAGTGGAGGCACTAGGTGGCTATATGCAGGATTTGTGTGTTAAACATGTGTGAATGAAACAAAACACAACTCAATGTATGATGTTGATGAGGAAACAACATTTTGACATAGAAAACAGCATAATTTGTTTGTCTTAAAGTCATCTGTCTCCATGTAAACAAGCATTACATTTGTAATTAACAAATATATAAAAAAAACATGCATTCTGACAGTGAGCAGGCTTGCCTCCCAATGTATCTAACCTGTAACTTGGTCAGGTGTTGTTGCTGCATTACTTGTTCATGCAAGATATTATCTTCTGCAAACTACATCATATCTTGTGTGCACAAGATAGTGTGGTGTTCACATAAGATCCTATCTGGTTTTATGGGACTTTAGGGGCTCTGCGGATATTCTTGTCATTCTTTTCTCTTTGAAATACAACACACAATACTTTTTTTTACTCAAAATAGTAAAGAATATAATGCTTTGTCCTTTGCAGATTTTGAATTGGCTTTTTATTTTTTAAACTAGCAAAATTAGTCCTTTTTTCACTGATTTAACTCACTAATAACTTGTTTTGGTGTTTTATTCATGAAAATAACTGCATATAATAAGTGTTAATACATGTTTACAACTGTTATGTTTCTGACTCTCCCCATTTACAAACGGATGAGTAATTGTTTTACACATCGCTGTCTGTCTATTTCTGTGTGAGCTGCAGCTGTCTTAGTCATTTGAATATTTCATACACATAACCGGACGGAGCAAGGCCTGGCAAAATAAAAGTTAAATGAGCACGATGAATAAATAATATTATACTTTGAAGAAATAAAGGAGCACATTGTTTATTCAAGATGAGCTGTGTGAATACAAACTGAATTTTTTGGATGCATTTAAATGCCAAAAGTTAGAGGTTCAGCCATTGTACCATTGTGTTACTGTGCAAGACACTTCACATTCTCTTCTCCAGTGGGGTGGGCATACAGTATAAAAACGAGATAAAATTATAATATTAGTTTAGTTGGTGCAATCATATTTCTTCCAAAACAGTTAAGTTGTGTTAAAGGCGCTGTATCTGACTTTTAATTTATTCCTCACTGACCTTATGCATGAGAAAAAACAGCTATAGCCCCTGTAAAACTGCTTGATTTGGGAGTACTAATCTTGTTTTTAGTATATTTTGACTTGTTAGAGGGAAGAAATTATAAGTTACACCACAAAAAAACTAAATCTAGTCAAGCGAAGATGACTTGAATTAAGAAAGTTTCATTATGATTAAATTAAATTTCACTTGAAAAGTAAAATTACCTGCCAGTGGAATAAGACTTTTTGTACTTAAAATATAAAAATACATCTTGCTACACAAACTTTTTGCACTTAAAATAAGAAACAAAATCGAAAGTTGCTTGAATTAAGAAAAACACACTTATTCCATTGGTAGATAATTAAGCTGAATCTACTCAAATAAAGTAAAATTTTATTTACCTAGATATAGTTTTTTTTCCAGCGTAAAGTTAGAGTGTCAAGTTAAAATCTTTAATTAAAGCAACTGTTGATGCTTTCTACCATGTGATAACTTTCTTCCCTCATCAAAAACATGCCTAAAGAGGTTTTAGATGTCATCCATGCAGGTCTGAGTAATTTAGCGATCTCTCCCAGACCCTATTCAAATTATTTTTTTACGGTCAGCAGTAATTAATCATTGCATTTATATGGCACCTTTCAAGATACACAAAGCACTTTACAGTTCATTATTCATTCACTCTTCACTTGGTGGCGGTCAGATACGACTGTAGCCACAGCTGCCCTGGGACAGACTGACAGCCCATTTGACCCCCACCAACACTCACGCACACACCACTTTCATACTAGGCAATGTGGGTGAAGTGTCTTGCCTAAGAACACGACAGTAAGATCCTATCCAAAACTCAGCCCACAAGCCAAACTCCAACACAGTAATTTTCCATAAATATACAAAAGCATGACGCAAAACAATATTTCGCAAACCTGATACTATATACCAGGGGTGAGCAATTATTTTTGCCATGGGGCCACATGAGAAACAGAAATGCTCAATTCTACATAATATTAATTGTATTTCTTTATAAAAAGCAGTAAATATCATTGTTTTGACGCGCTGGTAAGACTGGTAAGAATTTATGTTATGACTAAGAAATGAAAAAATGAGGCTGCCTTACAAAAATGTCATAGAAAAACACCTCTAAAATAAAAGCAATGCAGCTTTAGTCCATGCGTGAGGTAAAATGATAAAATATGTTTATTTTGTAATTCCCAATTAACTTAAAAGGGCCGGTCAGAGTCAACTAAAGGACCATATGTGGGCTTGGAGCTGTACAATGCCCAGGTCTGCGATATACAGAAGTTTCATTAGCGAAATGCACATGATTGAAATCTGAAAGGGGGGTGACTTAGTGTGGAGAGCAAAGGGAAGGGAGATTCAGTGCATCCAAAGCAAAACTGAAACTTATTAAACTAAACATCTTAATACGTTTGCGGTTCTCACTCATTCTCACAAACAAATGAAGTGTTTATTTCTTTTTCAGTATTAAACAAGTACTTACCTGTTCTTCTCACTCTTTTGTCTCCACAGCGCCCCCATCACGCCCACGCCCTCTTCGACTTCACCCCGCACCACCAGTCCCAGCTGCGCTTCCTCCGCGGCGACGTCATCGAGCTGGTGGACTGCTCCGACTCGACGCGCTGGAGGGGCCGTTGCCATGGACGCGTGGGCTACTTCCCGCCGGAGTACGTGCAGCCCATCTATCACTGCCAATGACAATGTGACAATGGAACGCGACTTTTCAACTCCTTCACCCCGAAACCACACATCTTACGCTTTTGAGATTTCAATTTATCTTTTATAATGACTGCGAGACGTACTCCTACCTGTCTATCAACCTGGAGAATAATCCTGATATAAAGGATTTCTATAACGGTGGCGAAGTGGGGAGTACTCTCGCCTCACCGCAAGAAGGTTGTGGGTTCAAATCCTGGATTGCATGGGGCCGTTCTGGGTAAGATTACTCATGCTTCTACCACCGACATGGACCGTAAAATGCACCATACCTTCTTCTCCAACGCACCGAAATCATTGAGTCACACTAAAGCGACAAAGACAAAGAGACAATATACAGAGCTGGAAATGGGGATCAAACCAGCAACCTTACTGTCACACTAACCTGTTGAGTTGAATCGGGGGGATCCTGGGACCTGTGCAAAAAAGACATTGTTTTGAATGTGTGGTTATCTACTGGACTCTTATGAGGGCTTTATGTAAATATAGAAAATGGCAAAAATAAATGTTATGTATGATGTGTAAAATATGGGCTATATGTGGTGTTCACGTTTCATATTGCACTTTTACACGGCAAAGATACAGTGTGTATGGATAGAATTGGTCAAAACGGCTTATTTGATGTTACATTTTGGAGTAATATAATATAATTCAGCTTGAAATAAAATGATTATGTCAAAGGGTTAAGTTCAAGTTAAGTCCAGGTTAAATCCATTAAGAAGCACAGCACTGGAACACATTTGAAGCTACAGTGTGTAACTTTCTAGAGGCGGTATGTTGCCTGCATGATTTAAAGCCATACTTCAATATTCTCCATGGAAATAGATGTTTTATTAGCCAGGCTGATGCCACCTAGTGCCTCCACTCAATTTAATTTCTCTCCAGCGACTAGGTCAGGAATCGGAATACACTAGACGGTTCGCAAAAACCCCGGAAGTGTGAGTTCGGGCCCCAGCCAATCAGTGAAGAGCCATATATTCTGTGTTGTCAACGATTCCTGAGCTCGAGGATTTAAAGTCGGAACAAAGAGAATGTTTGGTGAATTTTATCAAGGAGAAAGACATCATTGCCCTTCTTCCTATGGGATTTGGGAAAAGCTTAATATACCAGTTAGCCCCGTTAGCGGCGCGTTACATACATCACGACCAAATAGCAGCGATTGGTTAAATAATAAAAGTACCTGCCTACTGTCGACCGAAGGAATCCTAATGCTGCGAGGTCAGACGGTTTCCACGAAGTGAAACCGGTTGATGAATCAGGCTAACGTTTTATGCCATACTGTGGAAGATTATAGCCAAAGGAACAACATTTCCATGGAAGAAGCCCTCCTCTTGGTCTAATAAGAGTCATGTTTGTGGAGATGTAAGCTCGCTGAGAGGAAGGGCACGTTATTACATTTTACAGTGCATTCAACACAGTGCATTTTTGCCCAAAGGGTTACATACTGTGGCTTTAAATTCTGAATTAAAGTAATTTTAAGTAATCTAGGTATAATTTTTGCAGTGTATGAATAAAAGTTTGAAGAAAACGATGTCAGATGCTTTCATATCTGAAGGACAAATCACACTTTAAAACTGAGCTAGCTCATGACTCCCTAGATATTTACTGTATATAGCCTGGCTAGCTGAACGCACTGACTTTCTCAGCAATGTGCATTTAAATTTTGCACTAAAACGTAAAGACAATTGTTCATCTTGCTTATCGCTCACTTCTGTGTCTGTTAAAATTTTTGAAAACAGTTTGGGAAATGACATAAATTTGCTGTTTTGTGACGTGTGTGGAATTAACACTGCCCCAATGTTTCATACCAGAGGCCTGTGTCGTTATTTCATGATCATTTCTGTATTTATTCATATATGACATTACTGTATATTAAAGCAATGCACAAAAATGTAAAAAGTAATGATTTCTGCTGGTGTTCAAAAGAAATGTGATTTTAAGAGAACTAAGGGACTGTCTTCCTTTACTTGTAATTATTTCAATAAATAAAATCATACGTGTATTCATTGTAAAAGGTAGTGTAGGGTTATTGTTCAGTTTATTATACCAGTATGACCAAGCCACACACACACATATATTAAATACCAACAGAAAAATCCTAAGACTAAGACAGATAAAACTGGAATGCAACCTGACTACAGTCAAGTGGAAGGGAAAGTCCACAGTTTTTATGCAGTGGAACATTTACTGAAGTGGGACTAAACACCTAAACTCCACCCAACATTTCCTAGAACTGCTAAACTGGGCAGCACCTGCAGGACTAAAGAAGAGAGAGTGAGAGAGGAGGGGCAGGGTCAGGAGGTACAACGAACAGTGTGATTGGTGTAACGGGTGTCCACACTTCAAACTCCACCTCTGCAGACAGGTGTTTGTCAACAAAAACGTCTGACTTTAATCAGGGCAGTTCTGCGTGAAGTCATGTACTACTTGAATTTGCAATGGCCACTGGAGGTAGGACACACTGCGTTTCTGTTTATTTTTTTGTTTAGCCCCAGAATATAGTACTCCTTTAATTTTAACTTCCTTTTATCTTACCTTTAAGATTGGTTCCCATACCACTTAAGGTTACCAAGGCTGGCACCACCTAGTACCTCAGCTCAATTTCATTTATCTCCAGCGACTAGATCAAGAATCAGAATACACTAGACGATTTACAAGAACCCCAGAAGTTGTAGACCGTGCACAAGCCAATCAGCAAAGAGCTGTGAAACCATGATGTCAAACTCAAGCTCCTGTCTGGGTCCCTTTTGTGGTACAGCACCACAGTAAACAAAACGGTCGAGATGGATTTAGACGAAGACATACATTCTGTGTTGGTGACAATTCCGAGATCGAGGATTTAAAGCCGGAACAAAGAGAATGTTTGGTGAATTTAATCAAGGGGAAAGACGTTATTGCCCTTCTTCCTTTGGGATTTGGTGCATTACGTCACAGCAAAAGAGAAGCGAATGGTTAAATTTTAAAAAGTACCCACCTACCGTTGAGCAAATGAATTCTAACGCTGTGAGGTCAGACGGTTTCGATGAAGTGAAACCGGCTGATGAATCAGGCTCACTTAAGGTTCCATGTTGTGTAAAATTGACTGTGTTTGTCTTAAGCCGGGTTATCATGTTGTTACAACGTTAAAAACATACTTGGAGTGGGAGTAGTTTTGTTTTTTGTTGATTCACAAGTTTGAGTAATCCTTTATTATTATTAGTCTGTCTACATCTCCAAAGCTCCACCTTGTGATATCCTGAAGCAGTTTTCAAGTTAACAGCTCTTTTTACCTTTTGTTCAGAATTGATTGGCAATTCCAGGGCTGCAAATCATACAAACGAAGGTGTATGGAGTTTAAAAATACAGCAGAGCACTTCCTGTAGTACTACCTGATGACATCACAAGGTGGAACAGTGTTTTCTCAATCTAAATATTCATGGTTTTGTGTTAAACAGGTGTGAATGAAACAAAACGCAACTCCAAGTATATTTTTATGAAACAACATTATAACATAGATCAGAAAATGGTGCAATACGAGCCTTTTAGGTCAGTTCAATTGAGGAAAGGCAGCTCATTTTAACCCACTGGATGATCCTTTTTACCATCAGGTGTTCTTCCTGTCTGAGCAAATATCTTTCCCAGAACAGAACCGCACCTTGGCCTCAACAACACTTTGTCAAATTTGTGCCGAAATTCTGAAGTGGAGATGAAGCTGACTGTGGACGGCGCACTCCAAAAATAGTGCGGAATACTTACATTTTTCTCTGTGCTGAGTCACTTTGAAGTCTCTACTCCAGTCATCAGAAATGATTGGTGCGACGTGCCTGCAAAAGACAAATATATTGGCTGTGACATATCTGAGGTAAAAGTGACTAGTGAGACAGAGAAGAAAGATCGTGTAAATGGCAAATAGAAAATATAGGTACTGCTGATTTTTTAAAGGTCCTGTATTACGCAAAATTTGTTATAATGTTGTTACCTCCTCAAAAAACATACCTAGAGCTGTGTTTTATTTCATTCACGCATGTTTGAGTCACCCTTTATTATTAGTTTGTCTACATCTCCAAACCTCAAAATGCTCTGTTCCACCTTGTGATGTCATGAAACAGTAGTTTTCAAGTCTTGGAGACAATTCCACGGTTGAAATTTTTCAGATGATTCAAGTGAAGATGTATGTAGGTTAAAAGCAAAGTGGAGCACTTCCTGTTTTACCACATGACTTCACAAGGTGGAACAGAGTGATTTGTGAAAGAGCCTAAATATGCAGTGTTTGTGTTAAACATGTGTGAAGGAAACAAAACAAAACTCTAGATAGGCTTATGATGAGGAAATATTAGAGCATAGATCAGAAAATAGTGTAATATGGGCTCTTTAATAAGTGGTATTCCGCAAAATCAACGTTTTGGAGCTCATAATGTTGTTTCCTCAAGTGGTTTTGGGGCCTGTTTACACGAGAACGCTTGCAGGTAAGAATGACAAAATATTTTATCAGAAGCGCTTTTCGTTTAGACGGTGATGGCATTTTGGGGGCTTTAAAAACTCAAAAATCTGAAACCACCCTCCAGAGTGGAAAAGTTGAATACGCTCCATCGTAGCGTTTCCATCTACACTGCCCAAGATGCAAAACTCTGGTCAGATCTGCTCATGCTGCGTTCGCGTTTACGTCAAACACATCACCACCTAGCGTCACCACCGAGCCGCCTGGCATGCATACCCAATCAAATTTCAAACACTTTTGCATCACCGTATGCACGCAGATTTCCTCCCGAAAACGCTCATCTAAACGAGGAATAATAAGTGAAGACATAACGCCACTTTTGCGTCTTCTGTTCAGACCGTCATCATATAAACGTGGCCTTAAACACACTTCTTCGATACTTTACAAAGATGTGAGTCTGTTCAGTGGAGAATCTCCCCAATTAGCCAGTCGGGGACATGCATGGTCGACCTGTATCAAAACAGGAATAGCTGCTTATGAGGACAAAAGAAAGGAAGGAATATAACAAGGAACTCAAAAACATTGCAAGATTTCTGCAGAATCAGTGAACAAAGCACTAAACTGTTTATCTGAGACTCTGTTAATCTTCTTATTTTCACTTGCGTCACTGAAAAAAATCAGATTAATCAGATTGTACAATCACATTTGGTCAGACTCAAGACGTGATGGAGGGAGCAGTGACCCTGATATTGATCTAAAAAAAATAATAATACAAAGATTCTTGGATTTACCAGACAATACAAGGTAACATGACCTAAATATGTAATGTTAAAGGTGCACTGTGTACGTTTTCTGGAGAGGGTTCACCACCTGTGTCTCCATGGATATGTTAAAGGTGCACTATGTGACTTTGTAGTTGGGGGTCCGTCACCTGTTTGATTCTGTGGATATGTCATTGCTCTTCCAGGAATGTTCCATAGTATGACATTAAACAGTACTACCTTACATTTATTCAAGTACAAATGGTTTTATAGCTCAAAAATGCCTAGAAAAACAGATATTCTGAGTGTGAGCAGGGTCGCCTCTCCAGAGATCTGACCTGTAACTTGGTCTGGTTTGGTCTCCATGAAGATATAAAGGTTTAATCCCATACTGTGAAACATTCCAGACCAAACAATAACATCTCCATAGAGAAAAGTGTAACCCAAGTGTGAAATCCTGACCCGCCTTCCATTCTGTTCTCTCCATTCATTTATGTATCTGCACTTCCACTCAAATCACGTGCAATCGTTTCTGTATTTCGAACTTGACTGCGACATGATAAAGAAAACCCGATAGGCAGCGCCGGACCACGTGACATCACCAAATAGAAGCATCTGATTGGCCAACAGGCATACGTGAGCACGCGATACGAAATCTCGAGTGAACATTGCGAAATACCGCGTGATTTGAGCAGAAGTGCAGATACATAAAGGAATGGAGAGAACAGAATGGCAAGCATGTCAGGATTTGGGTTACAAAAGAATTTGCTGGACCCTCCACGAGAAAAGTTACACAATCCACCTTTAATGCTTTGGTTTAAATCGCCTGCAGTGTGATACTAAACTAATAAGATTGCATTTATTCAACTACGGGTGTTGTTTATTGCTCAGAAAGATCTTTAAAAAAACATTAATTCTTACTGTGAGTGGGATCGCCTTGCCACAAATTTAACCAGTAATTTGGCTTAAATTTATGGCCATACTGTGGAACATTTTAGGCACGTCACCATGGAAACAAGCAGGTCACAGACAGACAACATACACCTTTAACAATAAATATGCACCTATAACAATAAATATAGAAGTTATATACACCCACTAGGCCTGTCACGATAATACATTTTGAAGCACCAATAAAGTATTAGTAGTGCAAAGAAAAAGTACACAGGAAAAATATTAAACTCCACAAAATGTTTTTTGGATTTCATTTACTGAACGTTAAGTTGGTATAGTAATTATCGTGACAGACGTAATGATCCCTCTTTAAAGGTGCATCGTGGAAATGTGCCAAGCATGTTCCACAGTATGGCCATAAATTTCTGAATCTCCAGGGAGACTTGCAAGACAAATTACAGGCTAGATATGTGGTGAGATAACCCAACTCACTAGCCTGATTTGGTTTCCACGAAGTGAAACCATCTGATCTCGCAGTATTAGGATTCATTTGCTTGACGGTAGGAGGGTAATTTTTTATTTAACCAACTGATGCTGTTTGGTTGTGGCGTATGTAATGCGCCAACTCCCGTACGAAGAAGGGCAATAAAGGCTTTCCCCTTGATAAAATTCACCAAACATTCTCTTTGTTCTGGCTTTAAATCCTCGATCTCGGGAATCGTTGCCAACAAAGAATGTATGTCTTCGTCATGGCTTCACAGCTCTTTGCTGATTGGCCGGTGCGCGGTCTACAACTTCAGGGGTTCTTGCAAACCGTCTAGTGCAGACATGTCAAACTCAGGCCCGGGAGCTAAATTTGGCCCACGATATAATTATATTTAGCCCACAAGATCATATCAAATTAGATCTGGCCTGCAGGCTACAGATAGGCTATAGAGACATTATTTATTTAAAATGTTGTTATTATTTTATATTCTATTTGTTCTGGATTCAATGTTTAAGCAAAACTATTATTAAACATTTATTTTAATAAGAAAGGTTTCAGAACATACAGAAAAATCCCGCACACCGTCTTACTTGCAAACTGTGAAATTTATTAGGACAAACCGACATTGACATTGACATTCTCTCAATAAGAAAGGTTTAACATTGCATATCTCAAAAGAAGAGAAAACATGCAGATGTTGTTGAAATTTTTCACAAATATTTAGTTTGGCCCACGACTTAGTCCCACTTTTTCATTTCGGCCTCTGTCAATTTGAGTTTGACACCCGTGGTCTAGTGTATTTTGATTTCTGACCTAGTTGCTGGAGAGAAATTAAATTGAGCGGAGACACTAGGTGGCGCCAACCTGACTACCCACTCACAGTAAGAATTCATGTTTTTTAAGGTATTTTTGAGGAATAAATAAAGATTAATAGAGCTGAATAAATGCAAGACAGATTTGTTTAAACCAAAGCATTAACATCTCCATGGAGACAAAACAGATGTCCAAAAGGTTACACAGTGCACCTTTAATGCTGAGCCAAAAATGCATGAAAAAAAAAGAAAAAAAATAGTGCTTGAAAATGAGGTGAGGTGTGAGAGCTGTGACCTCAATGATAGTCACGAACGTCAGTGCTCATCCAGGAAAACTGCTGAACCTGTCCGACCGACTGCTGTCCCAGAACCTTAAATCACAACGTGCACTTGTTACATACTTTGCAATTACTGTCAATCACGCTAGCAAACGGCTATATGTTTACTTTTAACAGATGATTTGCAAACAATGAGAACTCTCACTAAAATAATCATTTGTGACACAGGGCTTTTCTCGCTATTGAATTATGGCTTACGGAGACCAGTTACAGAAGAAATATGATGATCTGTCTGAAGATGTCAAGGGAACTAAAAGAGAACATAAAAGAAAATGTGGGAGAAAGTTGGCTGATCAAAGGAGTAGGCTCTTTTTTTTTTTTTCTGAAATCTTAAGCGGTTATGGCTTTAATAGGCTAAAGGGTCACGTATATTATGCAGCTCTACCAGATGATGGTTTGGTAAATAGGTCTATAGGTGTTTTAATAGTGTTTTATTTTATTTTAATAGTGTTTTGTGTGAATTATATTTGATCTTCTCTTTTAAAATGTGAAATAAACGATCCTGACTTTCACTTTCTGACCTGCATGTAGCCGATAAAACAGCTGCTTACAAGTTTGAACAGGCGGTTCAGGTCTCACCTCCCACAGTGTGTGTGTGTGTGTGTGATGTGGATGTCTATATGTGTGTGTGTTAAATGGTCACATTTTTCTATAGCGCTTTTCCACCTTCAAGGTGGTCAAAGCACTTTACAACAAGGAACCACTCACCCATTCACACACCAGTGTACGCAGACACTGTGGGCAAGGTGGGTTAAGTGTCTTGCCCAAGGACACAACAACAGCATTCATCTGTGGGAGCTGGAATCATACCAGCCAACCTGTGGGTCAATGGATCTGACCGCTCAACCTGTGATGTTTATGTCGAGAGCTGGAATGGAACTGCCAACCTTCAGATCAGTGGGCGAATGCCTATCAACTGAGCTACTGCAGCCCCGTGTGTTATGTGATGTTTGTGCCTGATGATGTGTGTGTCTGTGTGTATAATCTTTGTGCCACTGTGATGTGACTGACTACATCAGACCAGCAAATAAACTGAAAATAACTTACAGCATCCAACTATGTACAGTACATGTAGGCATATTTATTTAACATTTTTCCAGTGAATAACATACAAATTTGCAAAAAATATTTTTAAAGTTTGTGTCATGATTTGCTCCCCCACTGGTTGTGAATGGCTGGTGCCTCGCCTTGTCACTGGCCCAGATGTGTGTGTGTATATGTGTGTGTGTTTGTGTATGTGTATGTGACTGCCGCTCTCGGTTTGTGTTTCATGTCTGGCTGGGGACACTCATAACGAACACAATGCGGCACTTTTAGCCCAGTGTTGTTCTGTTGTGAGCAGGGCAGGTTTGGACCAGGTCACGTGCTGCAGGTGTGAGTGTGCGTTTGCCTGCGTGTCAGGGTCACACCTGTCGGGCGGTGCCGTGGGCAGAGGCAGACTGTCACTCAGCGCGGAGCGTGTTTCGCTCTTCTCCAGACGCGGAGCTGACACCGGAGGAGCGTCACCATGTTCGGTCACGGGAGCTAACGGCAGACCCCCTCATGAAGGACACAAGCGGGACACGAGCTCAGCGCGTTTACACCGCTCCAGTGTTTGAGAGGGACTTTTATACAGCGGCTTATGCTTCTCAAAACGAGGAAAGTGAGAGTTAAGCTCGGAAAAGTTTTTCACATTTCCCCCTTACTTGTAAAGCGGACTCGGAGCAGAGCATGGCGCTGTCGCAGATCCAGTGTCTGGACGATAACCACGTGAACCCGCGTACGCACGAGTCCAAGCCGGAGTTCCTTTACTGTGAGGAGCAGCGGCACGCGCTCGAGACGCTGCTGCGTGATGGGCGCGAGGCGTTTTTCAAACAGCTGGAGGAGCGCGGCCTGCGGGGCTTCCTCTCCGACCTGGAGCTGGAGGCTCTGGCGGGAACTGTGGAGCCTTTTGACCCGGGGGTCGACCTTTACCGGGAGGACCCCGAGTCCGAGGACCAACAGACCGCTCTGTCCCTGCACTACTGGCCCGACCTCTCGGACATGTCCATCCCGGAGTTGGACATGGGCTGGCCGGACAGCGAGGCTTACCGCGGGGTCACGCGTACCACCGTGTACACGCAGCCTCCGCTGGAGGGACAGACGCACATCAAAGAGGTCATCAGAAAGATGATTGCGCAGGCGCAGAAAGTAGGTCCCACAGGTCTCATGTTTGATATCACGCATAACCTCACATTATACCTGTGGCTCCAAGATGCTTACGCCGTACACCGTTAAACTCATTTTAACAAGGCTATAACATTTTATTAGGCCATTTACATTGTAAACAGCAAAGCCTGCCTAATCAAACCACAGCACCAGGATTGGGTGATGCTGCTGTGTTCTGTGGTAAGTCCAGAGTTCACACTTGTGACAGATGAGAGCCCAGAGTAAAGTTCACCTGCAGATTATAGAGACCGTGTGAGCAGAAGAACAACAGAGAGCAGACAGCAGGTGAATCATGAAGTCAACTGTCTTGTACTTTATGACTGTGGACATTATCACAGAGCAGACACATGAGTCACTGCTGTGTACATGTCTGTGTACACAGACCTGTCTCATGTTTATTCCTCAGCACCTATGGGAAGATAATACCTTGACAAAATATTACACTTTTATGGTAGAAAAGAAAGTTCACTCAAAACAAATATTGACTGTAATGCTTTCATATCATGTGCCCAATTTGTCATGTCATGTAATACCTTTGCTCAAACATATTTAAAACCAGTGTAACAACTCATCATTCATTCGTTTGGCACAAAGGCACAGTCTGATATTGCAACACTCCAGCAGTGACACGGCCGAGAAAGAAAGTATTTATGAAGCGGATGTGCATGTGATCCTTTGCCCGTAAGGTTGATAATCCTCGCTGTGATGTAATGACATAACCTGTTTGTGTCCAGGTTATCGCCGTGGTGATGGACGTCTTCACCGATGTGGACATTTTCAGAGACCTGCTGGATATCTCGTTCAAGAAGAAAGTGTCGGTCTATATTCTGCTGGATCGTGCCTCTGTACCTCACTTCCTGTCTATGGTTCAGCGAGCCAACATGCACAGTGGACATCTCAAGGTGAGTCAGAGCGAAGCAATGCCAGGTATTTGTACGTCACTGAAGATAAAGAAAGAAAAACAAACTAACTAAAATTGTTTTTATTTTTGACTGAAAAAGAATTTGCTCACACATAACTGTTGAAATACGGCTACACGATTTTGGAAAAAAAATCCAGTCTTGATTTTTTTTTTTAGATTTGTGGTTACTACTTAATAATAAAGTTATCAAAAGTATCGAAAATCAGATACTAATCGATACCAGTAAAACCAGATACCCGTTTGAGGAAATACTGATAGTAAAAAAAAGTCACATTCACAAGACAGAAATTAATCTTTCCTGAATCACTTTAGAATGATCTTGAGTTGTATCAGAACAAGTATAAGAGCACATTATGGAAAAAATCATTATCACGATTATTTTGGTCAATACTGAAATCAAATGGTTATTTTTTAGTTACACGATGCATTTGGTTAGCATTTCTCTCTCTAAAAAAACACTTTGTTATTGATAATTTATGCAAAACTTTCAAATTGAAAATAAATATAGGCTACAAATATGAATCTTAGAGCAGTTTTGCGATGTATAAAACATAAAATGATTAAAATACACTTTGAACTTGACATAAAGCGTAGAAAACCATAAATGTATCCAAAATAAACTGTATATCCAACTGTTCTATAATTATTTTCTAGGGATGTGACAATAACCGAAATATCGTGATATCGTATCATCAACGTTCTCACATGGACCATCACAATATATCAAATTACAAGTCTCTTTCTCTTTAAATTAAGAGTTATGGTGCAGCAAAAGACAGGGGACTACATAGACCATGATCCTTTGCTCCATTTCAGTGTAGACTATAATAGATAATAGAGCAGGGGTGTCCAAACTTTTTTCATCAAGGGCCATATATCTAAACACAGACGAAGCAGAGGGCTGATTGTGAGCTGCAGGCTGGTGCTGAATACAGTGAATAATTGAAATATGTGCATGTTTAACACACTAGAATGAACCATCATCTTTATTCATGCTAAGATCCTCAAAACCACACACTAAATATTAAATATTAGCTTTTTCAAGGTAGATTAAAAAAAAATAATAATAAAAATGCAATAAAAAATTTTATTTTCATTGATGCAAGGTAATTTGGGCCAATTCACCTGGAAGTCTGAGGGCCAAGAAAAATTTGTCTGAGGGTTCTAAGCACTTTTAAATCTTAGCTCTTTGGATTAAGTCTTTTCAAGGCATGTTAAGAGGAAAAAGTAGCATATTAACAGTTTTAGCTGTTTAACCTTCACCTAATATCACAATAAATATCATACTGTTAAATGTATATTGTGAAAATATTGTACCAACAGATTTGGATATTGTTGCATTGTAAACCTCCCCTCCATATCGTATCGCTTTCCCATGAAATTACAATAAATATCGTGCCGTGAGGTTCATACCGTGACGATATTGTACCGTGAGACTTGGATATTGTTACACCCCTTGTATTTTCTGTACAAAATAAACTTTGTTAAGCTTTAAATTGTTTCAACTCAATTATATAGGTTTGGAGACACAAATCAAAATCACTACCACTATGGGACCTACCTGGACCACTGAGGGATTACACAGATATAAGACCACACGGTAATATAAACAAAGTACTATGATTTAATGTCAGAAATTTTAATTCTGTTGTAAATAAAGAGAGTTTTTTTATTAATCATTGTTGTATTGAGCACCAACTCTACTAGTATTCCTTAGTATTAAAATTGAGTTTGACATCATAGTATTGTAACAGTACTAATGTGTCTGCCACCTGCTCGTCTCCACGGAGAAGTTTTTGCTTTGTCTGAAATGTTTGACAGTATGTTATTAAACCGATCTATCTTCAAGGAGACACCGTCACCCCAAGGTACAAGTCGAGTCTGTGGAGAGGTGTGTCAGACTTCATTCTTGAGCAATAGAGTGCACTTACAATTGAATAAAGCAAAATATATTACTTTAATGCCGTACTGTGGAACATTCTGGGCAGAGTCATAAAACAAAAAACTGATGGAGACAAGCAGATGGCAGAAACATTCACCAGAAATGTTTACAGTACATAGTGCACCTTTAATTTCAAGGCTCTGATTCACAAATTTCTAATTAAAGATGCATGATTACTCACAATCGTTACATTTTTATATTGTAATTTCCTCCACAAACTAAATATCCTGTCTTTATTTAATAACTGGTAACCCTGTAGTTTAGATCTGTACGGACATGTTGAGAAATGTGATTCTTGTATTAATTTGTCGGTTCATATTTCAGTCTTTCAGTCAGATCTTCTGGGTGTGTTTCTAATGTGAACTGTCAATAGACTCCTGTTATTAAAACATTGTAAATATTAAAATCGTAAATGTAATTGCAAACACGAAGTTTGTGAGAAACACTGCAGATTTTTATTTTTTTATTAACCTTATTTCTTATTCAGCCCTCAGATTTCTACAATTGCGTGATTCTTGCCAGATCATATATAGAGGAATGGGTGCTGTAAAAATAGGTCACTGACATTTATTACACTTTTTAACTATATAAAACCAGCTTGCTGAGTTGGGCTTTTTGATGGAGCTGCCAAACCACCTCGTATTGTTCACTGAGTCGTGTGATGCAATGTGAACAAGTCTTGTTCAGTGCTGTTTTCACAAGCTTCATGTAAAGCAGGGTACAGCACAGTTGGCAAGACCTTGGAAGTTCCACCAAGGCCGCTGGTCCTTGAGTGTTAGAAAGCATAATCAGCATCACTGTGTTAACTTTTACTGTGCTGAAAATGCTGTATTCATAGAAACTTTAAATTACAACAAGTTTAACTTTCGTTTTCAAAACCACACTCTTTTTTTCTTTCTGCACTCCACCTATTGCACATTGCATCAGGTTTGTGCCGATGTTGTGTACAGTTTTGTACCATGTTTTTGTGGAAAATTGTCCTGCAGGAGCATGTGCGATGTTGTGGTCTGAACATTGGACAGAATCTCACAGCTAACCGTAATGAGGGTTTGAATAGGGCCGGGGAAGAGATCGCTAAATTGCTCAAACATGCATGGATGACATCTAAACCTAGCCTGGTTCATCAGCCGGTTTCACTTTGTGGAAACCGTCTGACCTTGCAGCATTAGGATTTGTTCACTCGACGGTAGGCGGGTACTTTTTTATTTAACCAATTGCTGCTATTTGGTCGTGACGTATGTAAAGCACCAAATTTTGTAGGAAGAAGAGCAATAACGTCTTTCCCCTTGATAAAATTCACCAAACATTCTTTTTGTTCTGGCTTTAAATCCTCGATCTTGGAGATCTTTGCCAACACAGAATGTATGGCTTCGTCTACATTCATCTCTACCGCTTTGTTTACTGTTGGGCTGTTCCACAAACGGGACCCAGACAGGCGCTTGAGTTTGACTTCATGGCTTCACAGCTCTTTGCTGATTGGCTGGGGCACGGTCTACAACTTCCATGGTTTTTGCAAACCGTCTAGTGTATTCTGGAGAGAAATTAAATTGAGCGGCGGCACGAGGTAGCGTCAGCCTGGCTAATCTAAACCTCCTTCAGGCATGTTAATGATGAGAGAACAACAAAGTTCCAAATTCGTAAATTTATGCATAACACCACGTTTTTTCGATTCAGAAATAGTTTGTGTCACAGATATTCTCCAAGTTAGTATGAGAAAGATTAAAGGAGGTGTACAGGACAGGAGGAAGAGCTGATAATATTGAGATTCATTTTGGGAGAAACAAGGGACAGAATTTCAAAATGAATAGTGATTTCGAAAATAATGATTCTGGGGAAATCTGGGCCAAGAAGAAGACCAAAAGAATATTTAATAATAACAATACAAATGAGCGTAGAGATGTGAAGTTTGAAGTTTAAAAGTGTCAGGACTTTTGTGTGAAATTTGCAAGTTCTCCCTGTGTCTGCATAATTTTTTTATTTTTTTTGGTGGTTTGGCTTCAACTACCAATAAAAACAGCCATATATACAAATCCCCCACAATCTAATATACTTTATACTACTAACTCACAAGGCTAGCAGTTACAGAAACGAATTTGGAGCTGACTTCCATGTTAGGAATAGGAATTTATTTTTTTATTTTAGGACCAAAATAACAACGCTCACTACAGCAGTTACAGAGAGACGGGAGGCAGTTTTTCAATGTAAAAATCATCTGGAAGCAGAGTCGATGGAGCCAAAAGTGCCCCCATGGTCACTTCCTTTTTTGGAACGCAGCAACTACAGGGTTAGCTACCTCGACAGTATATGATATGGACAAAAAAAAAAAAAAAAAAACGCATTTTATTTTACCTTCAAGTTAGAAATAGGTATCATTGCTTGTTGTTGCTTGTTTTTTTGTTGTTGTTGTTTGTTTAACCAAGAAAGTCACATTGAAATTCCCTTTTTTTTTTTTTTTTTTTTTTTTTTTTTTACGGGAGTCTAGACCTAAACTCAGTCAGCAAAAACCCACACATACAGTAGGTTAGTCATAGGTTACTGACAATTAGCAACAGGGATAGACTAAAACCCTATTCGCACGGGATAAGTACAACCCGGGGATGTCTGGTAATTTACGAATTACTGCCCCACCTCTGTGCTACTTGCAGCGGATTCGCACGGGATAAGCAAAGTCCGTAAATTACTGTATTTTATTTTACTGGCACTGACTGAGATTGAAAGAGGAAAGAAAAAGGCACGCAATTACAACAACAAATACTTGAGATGCAGATTCACGTGGACTAGTATCACTGGACGTCCATGTTTGGCGAAATATAATAGGTAATTTTGAGCAGAATTTTTACTTTACAAATTACAGACATGGTGCATTTGCACAGGATTAAGATCTCAGGCATCTTCCACAATTATTACAAATGACCAAAATCCACAGGTAAATCCCGTGCGAATAGAATTTACGTATCAAAGCGAACAACCACAAACAATTACAAGGTCCAGGTTTTGACTCCACAGTGGCCTGGTACTTTTCTGTTGGAGTTTTCTGC